CATCATAAGCTGACCACCAGGACCCTGGGTGCTAACTGTATTGTAAGCTAAACATAAGTCCTAGACTGTATCCCTTATAAAATAAAATTGTGGGGTCCCTGTGCCTCTTGGTGTAGAAATTATAAGCTGTAGAGCCCACTGGCCAGGCCACTCCTGGGCTCCTAGCTACAGGCCCTCTGTCCCTCTACTATCCCATTTTACTTTTTCCATCTGCCAAAGAAACCGACATCCTGAAGTACTGATGATTGTAGTAAAAAAAAAAAACATTGGTGCCCTTTCGTGGTCTCCAAAAGACATGTGCCCAGGGGCCTCATTGGACCCTGATCTGGCCCAGCACCAGGCCCAGACAGGTTCTCCCTCTCTCTGTCTCTCTCTAACATTACCACTCACTATGTGTTGTCGGTCTACATGGTGGTGTGTTTTTAGTCTAAACAGAAGCATCAATGTCAGCCTAATGATTGTCAGCCTAAAAATTATTCACACAAACAAACACACACACACACACACAGGCACCTAAGTAATCTTGCTCAGCATAATTACCAGCACCTCTGTTTACAGCCCCGTAGACACAGAGCACAAAAAAGAAAATAGCTTAAAATAATATCCTTTTACTGACCATTAGCTCACTGTTTTCAGTTATCTACTAACTTTCTTTTGGTTCCACCTCTATAATCAATCGTTTATTTACTTCTTAATAGTTGTACTCTTACAGTGATGATACAAGAGCAAAACCCAGAAAATACAAAATAAAGGATTTGACAATATAGCTTCATAAACTAAGTAAGCAGCCGCTCCTAATCTGCTAGTCTTGGGCCCTACCCAACATAAGCAAGATCCAAGTGTAAACACACACAAATGTTTCTTTTTATAAAAAAATATAGATTAATGCAGTGATTATTCGCTCTCTTAGCGTAGTTGGATGAGAAAATGTTTGTTAATTTCAGGACATGTTTAGCCTAGCTTAGCTGGAAGCAGGGGAAACACACGCTCAAAGTTGTCATATTAAAAGCTGCAATAACCGAATTTCTGACCTCTTGGGGGCAGTGATACCAGTGGTAAATACAACAACGAAACATACACATCCAGTAAATACGAAGTAACATTAATTGGCGAGCTTGTGTCCTTGAAAAGTCTGATATTCACTTTCTTTTAGCTCTTGATTCAGCTTCCTGTGCTGAGACAAATATCTACTCACTAAGTTCACCAGTCTAACTTTGTCTGTCTGGAGTTTGGTGAAGGACAGTTTGTGTACAGTAGGCTTTAGAGCTGTCTGTTGCTGTTGGAAACTATAATAACAGAAAGATTTAACAAGTGCAGTAAAGAAGGAAAACCAAAACAATGAGCTGAGGGGAACTGCAGTGATCATTTTCTGTGGGTTTATTACGATTAACAAATTTCACATTACACCATCCGCAGTCAACTGTGATTATAAAAATACTCATTAAAGCCACTTTAAATATCTTGTTAGTTAGCAATATGCTTGGTTGTTGTTTGGAGTTCAGCAACTGTGGTACATCAACTAAATGCTCCTTACTTAAGACACAATTTCAAATTCACAGTAGTTAGTGACAGTAGTCACTGAATGGTTAAAGCGCATGGCCACACGGTCGTAACCGTCGCCAGTTTGATTCCAGCTGTCGATCTTTGTTGCATATCATTCTCCTCTCTCTCCTGTTTCGTGTCTGCCTCTGTCCCTATCCAATAAGGGCCCAAAAATGCCCCCCAAAAAATAAAACAACTGAGCTATACTGAATGCACAGGGATTCAATTATCTTTTCAGCTAACTTCAGGTGAGACAACAAATAAGCAAACTTGCCTAAATGTAACAGTATTTCTCAAAAAGGAAACTAAATGTTCCGTCTGATCCTGTTTGACATGTCTTGATAAAGAATGAGTGACTTTGTTTAAGACTTTCAAAAAGCCTTTAGCACCTGAACTCATCATCCTCCTCCCGCAATGGAGTTAACCACTGTGAATAAAACCTAAAGTTGTGGGAAACACCAAGGTAGATTCATGATGATCCACACTTTTGCTGTATTTGTATTGAGAGTTTCTTCATATCAGCTGGTTATGACCCCCTTTATGTCGGAGTTAACTGAAAACTTGGAAGAACACAGCACTGCATCAGTCTAACTAACTCTAAGACTAACAACCTGACTGACATCACTGACTATTACTGAGTTCACTTTCACTGAGTTGTAGACTAAACTAACACAACTAAATAAGAAAATAATTTCTACCCATGTTACATGAATCCTTGCTCAATTCAACATGTGTAGAATGTTAAATAAAGCTAACGTAAAATTCTTTATCCTAATAAATATTCTAAACAAAAAAGGATAAATTACGAGCCAACCTGAAAATGGAGGAGAAAACTATCCATCCATGCTTCCACTCCTCTTTCTCATTGATTTATCTGCCGAGCTCACACTAAACCCTGGTGTACAGTGGCCGCTAACAGGGAGCAAAGAGAGAGAGGGAGGGGTGAGAGACACTGCCAGTGTTGTGGGAGGAAGAGAGTGAGAGAGAGTGGGTGTGGCCCAGATAGAGAGAGAGCGAAAGAGAGAGAGCCTGAGAGAGGACTAAAATAACTTTGTGCACTTCCTTGACAAGCCGAGAGCAAAACTGTCTGATAAATACACACACACACACACACACACACACACACACACACACACACACACCATGCACCACACACCACACACCACACACCACGCATGCACACACGCACACACACGCACACACAAGTCACTGAGAAAAAGAGGAAACAGAAAAGGCCTGTAAAAGATAGCGTGACTGTGACACTACACAAAGAGGTGTGAATCAGACAGACTACAAGGATGTACAATATGAACACTGATCAATTTTCTGACTCAATTTAATACTATAAGATAAAAAATAATAATAATTGATCAAAACATTTTTATTGCTATGTATTTTCATGAATAGCAACACCAACGTGTGAGTGTTTGCTGGATCACTGTGTTCATACTAGGGGTTAACAGTACTTAAAACACCAATAACATAGGGCTGAAATTTACTGAGTTTAAATCCAAATTACAATTTGTACAATTTGAGTGCAGTTACTTCTTCTTATAACTCTCAATAATAGCTTGACTTACATACAACAAGAAGAAACTGGTTATCAAACAGTCTTAGTTTAATACTGATGCCTCTTCATTAGTGGATCCCAAACTTTTCTATCATTGAGTAAACTGACCAAGTTACATATTTTATGGATATTTCATCTTATATTCAATGCATAACAATAACAGTACAGAATAACTGATAAACTGTACTGTAGCAAATGCACTAACTGCAGGAAGTTTGAGCAGATTATTTCTAAGGCTGCACAATTAATTAATATTATTGAAATTGCAATATGGCTAAGTGCAATATGCAAATCAAAAATAAAAAAAGAGCTGTAAAGGACAAAACAGCATTATAATGAAGTACTGTAGTGCTGCAGATGTGCCCTGGTCTACCAATTTTGTTCTACAAATGTAAGAAAACATGTTTGTTTGTTTGTTTGTTTGTTTGTTCATCATGATTTAATTTTAATTTTTCATGAATATTTTATTTGTGATGATCATGTGTGGATCATTCCCACATAATCGTGAATCACAACGTGCAGCCCTAATTATTTTCTTGTGGATATTGCATCAGAGATTAGTTTTTCTGATACTTTTAGAAACTTTTTATAGATTCTTTATAAATTCAGTTTTCTTCACAGAACTGAACAAAATGCTTTTTTAATGCATTTTAATGTTTTTGATTTTTTTTTTTCTTACATTAAGAAGACCCTGCGACCCTGTGAAGCTTTGGTGACCCCTACTGTGAGTCCCAACCCCCATGTTAGGAACCAACACTCCATAGACCTGCATAAATAAGAACATCAGCAAGAAGATTGGCTATTTATATATGGTTATTCTTAACATCTACCACTGGGTCAGATTCAGTCGGATTCATCTTGAAATCAATGAAATGAGGCAGTAGAAACACTACTGCTTTTTTGTCCACAGGGGGAACCAAAATCAACACAAACTGAAAGTTCCTACAACAAGCTGAAAGAGCTAAATGCTATAATGAAAAATGTCACTGGGACATTTAGTCTGCTGTACTTAGTTAGCTAACTACCACAATACCAAAATAGACCTCTTACAGCAGGTGTTATCTGGCCGATATGCTTTCGCAACCCCAGTGCCTGAACCATTTACACAGAAAAAACACACAACAGCACCACATGTTTAATAACTGTTGGTGTGCTGTCTAGTTAGCCGATTGTATCACTTTATTTTCACACTAGCTATCAAAGACAAACCAAACTAGCCTCTAGTACTGCACCCCGATCCCTTGCTTCCTGTCCATGAACACTGACAGTTGTTTATTGGAGTGTCTAGCCAAGCTGGAGGCACGACTGTCATCGTTGTTGCTGTTGGCATGACAACTGCTGCCCCTGTTGCCGTGGGAATCATGTCCCCTGTCCACATGACGACAAGTGACCCCTCTGGCAAGGTTATACACACATACACACACAAACACAGACACATAAATATAATCCGGATCCTGGGCTGACTCACCGGGACAGCAGGAAATAGCACTGCTGGAAAAACGCTGTTTCTTTCCCAAATGTGTGAACTAAACCTTAAATAACACAGGAGGCCTTATCATACAAGTATATTATCTAATGTCTAACAAGGGTTGTGTGAGGCTCTATTGAAATGTCCTTCTGTGTATGTGTGTGTGTGTGTGTGTGTGTGTGTGTGTGTGTACAGGCTTGGATGTTGTTACTGCAGCTGCCTTAGTGTGACTTGTAAGTACACATCTGTTCACATCCTGTCTATTTAGAGCAGGAGACTGATCTCAGCCAATGGCTCCACCTGCTGGTCAATATCAGATAATACTCTGGTAAAAGGTAGCCCACCATCATTTATCCACATTCTTTTTTTTAAAACCATTCTGGTTCTTGTTGCCTCTCTCTTTCACTCATTCAGTCTTACCTCCTGGTGAAGAGCTTGAGTCCAGTGAAAGACTTTGAGCAGCCGCTCAGCACCTCCTTCTCGTCCTCCACACAGACTGGGGGGGGCGAGGAGAAGACTGGAGGGAAGGTGGAGGAGGAGGGCAGAGAGGAATTAGAGGAGGATGATGCAGAGCTGAATTCTCCATCACCTCGATTTACGTTTGGTAACCCTTCTCCTTCTTTTTCTGTCTCTCCCCTGTTTTCTTCAGGAGCACCACCACACTCCTCAAGTCCAGCCGCATATCCTAGATCAGTACCTACTCCCTGGTCAGGATCCATCACATGAATTTCTTCAGTTCTTGTGGTCTCATGCCTTGTCACATTTTGGCAGGATAAGCTACAACTCTGGGAATTGTGGGCAGTTCTTCAAAAAAAATGCAATATTCTAAGAATGAAAAGTCCTTATATTACTTATAAATCCTGAATATGTCCTGTGTAGTCCAGGCAATGCCAATGGAGGACTCCACACGTTTAAGTATTCCAAGTATCCCCCAAGGAATTCTTGATGTTCAAAGGAATGCAATGTAGAAGAGTAGTTACCCTCCTCCTGACTGCAGTTCCCTAAGGCTTTCTACGAAACCACCAAGCTGCAAATTGAATCCTCCTTTAAATGTGTCACCTACTCTGGACAGACAGTGGACAAGGCTCTCAGACTCCAGCTTCTTCACTGTCAAATCATAAAGTTCTCAGGGTAGGAAATACCAGGACTACTACTGCTACTACTACTTCTACAACAACAAGACTCACTGTCTATACTGTACTCAAATAACTACAATCAAAGGACCAGACCAGGGTACACTTATAGAATTATTTAGTACATTCAAAGAATTCCTCTGAGGCTATGATACTGACAGGACTGCACAGGAGGTCTGAGAGCTAAAATCAAACACTGGACTGAAACTACTATACTCAAAGTACAGCACTCTAAGTATAATGAAACTGCTAAATTAAACACAGCATGCACCAGGTTCAGCAACAGCCCTACAAACTTAAGGTTAAAGAAACTGCCGATCAAATACTACACATTTAAACAACAAAGTATTATGAAGGTACTACACTCAAACTGCCACTCGTAAAAGTATTACGCTCAGTAATATTATTACAATGAATTATTACTACACTGAAACTGATCTAGGACTTCAAACATGTCTACCCTGCAGAGGTTACAAAGTCAATAATCCACACGCCAAAGGTCTTTTACAAGACACACAAGGTGTGTGTGTGTGTGTGTGTGTGTGTGTGTAAGAGATTAGAGTTGGGTCCCGAAAGGGATAATCCTTCCCAGCATTCCTCTTTACATCTCCCACTCAGCAGTAGTACTGTCAGCAACAGTAGTATCAGTATCAGTGCAGTAATAGTCCAATTCTTCTGACTGTCAGTCAGCATTCACTCTTCTCTCTGTTTGTTCTTCAGTTTTTCACTCCCCTTTCTTCCTCCTACCTCTCCTCTTCTTCGTGTCCCTTCTTCACTAAGTTTTAAATGGTCCCCTCCTTGTCATCCTCCTCCTCCCTCTCTTTTTCTTCTTCAGTTTCTTGCTGAGTTTAATTACACTCCATGTGAGATGCACATTGACATACATACGCACACAACTGATTCACACACGGCTACACACACACTGATCCTCTACTACCCGCCCGGCTAAAACCAGGAAGTGGATAATGACAACAATCAGGGCCTCACTGTTAGCTGCCCTGTCACATGCCTGACTGGAACTCTCTCACTGACTAACTGCTACTCTCTTCTGGCTAGCTGCTGTGGATTTGTGTTTGTTGCATTGGTTACATTATGTTAGTGAGTTGTGTTGTGAAATGACAATTTTTGACAAAATATTTAATTTTACAACACAGGCTTGTATACAGAAATTCAGTCAATTCTATTGTTCCAGTGGTGATATATTTTAGTGGGTTTTTTTTTTGTGGCCTCTTTTTTAAAGTCCTGATTTTTAGAGCCTGGGGCCCTTTTACCATGTTGTGTCATGTCTGTCTATAAAGTAACCTGAACCTGAACACATCATAGGCATTTACCGATTTTTCAATGTACTGCTGTAAATGACCACACGAGGGTGCTGCCTAAAAGACAGACAACCAGACAGTCCATGAGCAGTGTCAGTGTCCTTCAAGACCCAGTATTAAGTAACAAGGCTCCTTTAAGTATGTTCATGATGTATTCCACATGATCTAGCCTTATACTAGGTTTCAACATAGTTTTGTTTAACTATGCCGACGTACTGTACAATAACGTTAAGCATAACCATACACCGTATTGAAGATTTAATTGAACTGTTAGCCCTGGTCAGAACGCACCCTTCCACTCCCTGGCAATCAACCAGTACACACTGAACATGTAACTTTGTCTCCTCTCTGGACATGGAGCTTTCTGGAGCTCTCCCCGCTGGTAGCCACAGACACACAAGCAGCTTATTCTCTGCAAGAGAGAATGTATTTCGTCAGTTACACCCAGGGTTATTGGTTAGTCATAGTTTTCAGTCACATGGCTGGCACCATGCCCCAGAGGGTTTCAATAGGGCGACCGTAGACCAATGCTCCATAGAACCGCAGAAGTGTGTGTGAGAAGTGTGAATATTCTTTCTATTTCAAACCCAAAAATAAAACTACAAAAAAATTTAACTCACCATTCAATAGAAGAAAACCAAAGATACGTAAACAAACTACAAGTCACTGAAAACAGCAAAGTCCATGCCAGAGCTCATGTTTGGCGATGTTTACATCTGTCTTATGGAGAATCTATCTCCTTACACTCCCACCAGGATGAAAGTGTACAAAAGTACAGAGATTATTAAAGTATTTCTGATCTGATTCTGAAGAGAAAGAGAAAGCTGTGCAGAAGAACGTGGGTGCATTAATGTAATGCATACTTTATATACAGGGTGGGTATAAGAGTCAATGACAGTGGGTAATCCGGGCCCTGTTAAGGAGGTCAGCTGCAGACGGGAAAAAACTGTTTTTATGGCAAGACGTTTTAGTCCGCAGCCTCCTGCCAGAGGGAAGTATCTCAAAGAGATTGTGACCAGGGTGGGAGGGGTTAGCCACAATCTTACCTGCACGCTTCCTGGTCCTAGAGGCATACAGGTCCTGGAGGGATGGCAGATTGCGGCCGATCACCTTCTCAGCTGATCGAATGATACACTGCAGTCTGCCCTTGTCCTTGGCAGTGGCTGCAGCGTACCAGATGGTGATGGATGAGGTGAGGATGGACTCGATGATGGCGGTGTAGAAGTGCACCATCATCGTCTTTGGCAGGTTGAACTTCTTCAGCTGTCGCAGGAAGTACATCCTCTGCTGGGCTTTCTTAGAGAGGGAGCTGATGTACAGCTGATAATGGTACCCAGGAAGCGGAAGGACTCCAAAGAGTAAACTGGGGAAACACACAGGATGATGGGGGCGGGTGGGGCTGGGTTCTTCCTAAAGTCCACAACCATTTCCACTGTTTAGAGCTTTTAGCTCCAGGTTGTTCTGGCTGCACCAGGTCACCAGATGGTCAATCTCCCATCTGTAAGGCAGACTCATCTCCACCAGAGATGAGCCCAATGAGGGAGGTGTCATCCGCAAACTTTAGGAGCCTGACGGAGGTGCAGCTGTTAGTATACAGGGAGAAGAGCAGAGGAGAAAGAACGCAGCCCTGAGGGGATCCGGTGCTGATGGTCTGGGAGTCAGAAACATTTTTCCCCAGCTTCACGTGCTGTTTCCTGTCAGACAAGTCTGTGATCCACCTGCAGGTGGAGTCAGGCACAGTGAGCTGGGAGAGCTTGTCCTGTAGCACAGCAGGGATGATGGTGTTAAACGCAGAGCTGAAGTCCACAAACAGGATCCTGGCGTAGGTTCCTGGGGAGTCCAGATGCTGGAGGGTGAAGTGCAGGGCCATGTTTACTGCTTTGTTTACAGACCTGTTGGCCCTGTAGGCGAACTGCAGGGGGTCCAGGAGAGGGTCCGTTATGGCTTTCAGACGGGAGAGCACAAGGCGCTCAAAAGACTCATGACCACAGAGGTGAGGGCAACAGGTCTGTAGTCATTTAGTCCTGTGGTCCTTGACAGCCGATAAGCAATTTTGCTATTGCACAGCAGATTATTTAAACATTGAAAAAGTTCCAAATATGACACTCTAGTGTTATATCTGGACATGTTAACCGTCAAAGTCAGATGAAGTAGTCTAGAGAGCAAGAAAAGCTGCATATAAAGGTGGTGGGGTGGATGGATGGTTAAAACAAACACAGGACTTTATAATCCAGACTGCTGTTCATGTCGCATTTGAAACAAAAAGTAAATCATTTTATTGAAGTAATGTACGTAAGTTAACTTATGTAACGTACTTAAATGTCAGGTATGTTACAATTTATTGTCTGTTTTTGTGCCTAAACCTAACAACTGTTATTACCCACGAAAGCTGTATTTAGTCTAACCAAAGAAAACACAGAGCCATGCACGTCCATATATTACGCGTAAGGGATACCTACAACGTTATATTTTGAGGCGGAGGGCCACTGACCAAGCAACAGTATTTGATGAGTTGGGAGCAATTCCGAGTTGGCATATTGAAAGTAGAACATATGTGGAAAAAACTGAAAACAGATGAATTACTAGAATCACTAGACAGTCCCACCATTTCTTGCATATTGGAATCAGTTGCAGTGGCTTTTGCTACATTTTAAAGAATTGCGTACATTTTTTAAAACAATTTATAGTTAGTTACATGAAGATTAGTCTGTGCATATATAGACAGATAAATGTTTCCCAACAAGCTCCATAAACAGTTCCAGTTAATGAGTAAGAGATTGTTAATGTTTACTGTCAGAACTGGTTGATATTTGAGTTGCGGAGCTTGTTGGAGTGGGAAAGCATTGCGTCTGATTCAAATATTGGAAAATTCAGAAAAGGGCAGTGATTGGTCACATTTGTGAGCATTTTTTCCTCATTTTTTTTTTGGAGGATTGGATAAAATTGAGAAGTCTCACCAAACATGCGGAGGATGAGAGAATTTGGTTCTTTTTTTAAGGCAGAATTACAGGAATTCAGTGGAAACAACAGCTTAATTGGGCTCTAGATGTCAGCATTACTTAACT